CCATGTCCCCCCGGAACTGTCAGTCCCGTTGTTTTCTCCTCCAGATTGTTCATCCAGCCTGTCCTATCCAGACAGGCCTGCAGATCTACAATTTTTGAAAAACTTAACACTATATCCTGTGTCCCAGTTCAGCTATGCCTTTTGCTTTGTTTGTATCAGGTCAGATTCAATGTGCTGCAATACGTTGTCCCAGAAGTGAAAGATCTCTACAATTGGCTGGAAGTGGAATTTAACCCACTGAAACTCTGTGAGAGAGTCACAAAGGTAAGCCCTTTGTATTTCCGTTTTTGGTGTATTACCTACCATGCTACTCGCTGAATATCAGATATTTCCATTGTGATTTGGGCTATTTATACAAAGGAGGGCTTTAAAAAGTTCGTGGAGAAATGGAATGCAAAGATCATTGCTGTTTCTCCAGACGCCTTTGAAGGCCTCTCAATTGTTAAAAAGTACTTTCTTATGTGTTTGCATTCAATGCACATTTCATTGTCTTTTTTCTTCATATCGAGGAAAAGGATATTTCTGATGTGCCAGATGAATCGTTGGAGGTAAATTAGCAGTGTGGCTACTCTAGCCATTGCTGTCAGTCACCTCCACACATGCCTGCAGCTTCTCATCACAGCTTACATGTTTGGGCACTCCAATGTTTCTGTGCAATTTTGAAAAAAGAGAAATCCATAGGAAAATAACAAATGCTACAGATCTCTACTATTTGTTACAGAAAGTATAACTCTTTCTCAATTTATTGGATTTTGTAGGTTCTAAACTGGGTTAGGGAACAGCCCGAAAAGGAGCCAGAGTTACAGCAGTATGTCCCACAGCTGCAAAACAACACCATCCTCCGCCTCCTGCAGCAGGTAAACTACACAACCTGATTGTTTCATGTGGGCCTGAAGGCTCCCCTCAGTCGTCTTGATTGCCAAGTGGGAAAAATAAACCAGTACCTGTCTGAATTCTACCTCCTGCCAGAACTAGAATTTATTTGTACAATTGTTTTGAAAAACATTTATAAAACTTGTCACTACCATTCACTATGTAAGTACGCATTTTTTTGTTAGTAAATTATATATATCTTTTCTTTTGATACCTAAATGACTTTTCACCATCTAATGTACCATTCCTTTATCCAGTTTCTATTGATAGAATCCTATTGCTGTGTTTGGCTAATAAGAATTAGCGATGAGCATGTCCCATACAAGACACATCCTTGAGTATGTCTGATTCTTAAAGCATGAAAAGTCGACTAGGCCATAGGCTTTACATATTTAGAGATTTTATAGCCATTTAATGTTCAATCAACGAGCCCTTCCCATCAATAGTAGAGTCTCTTAACACCAGTAGAAGAATCTCTTAACACCAAGTGTTACCATATTCTTTTAACATGGTTTATTCCAACTCCTTAAAGGGAGTTGAAATGTTGCAGGTTTTGATAAGATTTGGCTTACATGTTGTAGCTTTGGTTTCTCTTGGTGTTATTTCTGACAGCCTTTTTGTGAAGCTTCCTGGTAGTGCAGTGTTTAAAGCATTTGACTGCCAACTGAAATCAGATGGGCACTAAGCCACCAGGTGTTCATCGAGGTGACAAATGTGTCTGCTTCCATAGAGATCCCACCCTTGGATGCCCTCTGGGGCAGTTCTGCTCTGTCACTGGGAGGCCACAGGCAGGGGTTCGGTTTGGCATTTTGTTGTATTTGTGCACATTTCATTGACCTGCTTCCATTTATATGTGAGCAGTGTTATTTCTTATGTGCTAAACAAGTAGCTGAAGGTTAATTAGCAGTTTAACTGAACGTAGTAATGCTGCCAGTCTCCTTCACACAAAAACAATTCGCTAACTGTTCGCGGCATTAAGCACAGCAGGTCTTTGTCTACTAGTAAGTTTTTTGTGTGTACTAATCTGGATTGGAAAAGAGTATTTTTTGAGCAATTGTCTAATAGGATGTTTCAAAGCAGGGATTTAGAATTGAAAGCATTGAATGAGAACTCCAGTTCCCAAAGTCCTCTGTCAGTCAATTCTCCGAATGCCGTTTGTCTCCCTAAAAAGAGACTAGTTTCTCCTTCTCAAGGTTGTCATACAGTGTCACATAGACAGTTTTGGGGAAAGGGCGGCTACCCTTACTGTTGACCTTGTGTTTTTATGCAGGTGGCACAGATTTATCAGAGCATTGAGTTTTCTCGTTTGACCTCTCTGGTTCCTTTTGTTGATGCTTTCCAACTGGAACGGGCCATAGTAGATGCAGCCAGGCACTGTGACCTGCAGGTACGTGCTCTAGGGGACCCTGAGGCTCAGAGCGCCACGTAGTCTTTGCTTTCTTAGCTTTAGGTACAATGTCCCTGACCGAGAGGGTGTTTTATAAGCTGGGTTAATTTTTCTTCTCATCCAAAAGTTGATTTTGTGGTAGGACTTTATATTTGCATCTAGAGTCCCTACTGATGAGAGTCTCATTTAATTTCCAAAGGTTCGTATTGACCACACTTCCCGGACCCTTAGCTTTGGATCTGATTTGAATTATGCAACCCGAGAAGATGCTCCCTTGGGTCCTCACTTGCAAAGCATGCCATCAGAGCAGATCAGAAATCAACTGACAGCCATGTCCTCTGTACTCGCCAAAGCACTGGAGGTTATCAAGCCGGCCCATATCCTGGTATGTATCGGGGTGGAAAACGTCATGCCTTTCAACAGGGTGGGAGCCTATGCCTGAGGGGAGGGGTTGCCCCTCCTGTACTGTTGTTTTCTTCAGATAGATCAGGGGTCCTCAAACTTTTTAAACGGGGCCAGTTCACTGTTCCTCAGACCCGTTGGAGGGCCGGACTATAGTTAAAAAAAAATAACAAATTCCTATGCACACTGCACATACCTTATTTTGAAGTAAAAAACCAAACGGGGCAAAAACACCTGGCGCGCCAGATAAATGTCCTCCCTCGGCGGGCTGCATTTTGAGCTGCCTTCCATGCAACAGGCTCCTGAGAAGTTAATAGATGATGGATGGCTAGTGTTTTGTGTAATAGGCTTCACGGTGATGGCACCCTCCTTCCCCTTCCTCAAATGACTCAGAAAGGAAGAGCCCAGTTGCACAATTGACCTTTTCAGCTTCGCTAATTCTTTGGTGGGCTCTGTAGGCCATCTTGCCTTGGGCACAAGGTAGTTTTGGGGCAGAGAAAAGGTAACTCAGTAAGTAGAGTTTCCCGATTCATTGCTGTGAAATCAGTGACTAAGGGTACTAATAGCTCAGTGTGGAATAGTGGTTAAAACACTGGGTTGCAACTTTGAGGCTGCCAGTTTGAACTCACGCATAGCTCCATGGGGGAGGTGAGGCTTTCTGCTTCTGTAAAGATTTATGGTTTTGGAAGTCCTGTGGAGTAGTTCTACCCTGTCTCATAGAGTTGCTGAAGGTCAGAATGGACTCACTGGTGACTGGTTCTGTACCATAGTATTTGATAGGAATACTGGGAACTAATAACATGAAAATGCCATTTTCCTTTGTCAAATGCAAACACTTGTAAGGGTAATGCACATTTTTGTATCATGTTGGTTTTGTCAGTTGTGTGGCATGCAGATAATACTATATGCTATGTCTGTTTTCATACGTTTTTCTGTTTTTGAAGCAAGAGAAAGAAGAGCAGCATCAGTTGGCTGTCACTGCGTACCTAAAAAATTCACGAAAAGAGCATCAACGTATCCTGGCTCGCCGGCAGACCATTGAGGAAAGGAAGGAACGGCTTGAGAGTCTCAATATCCAGCGGGAGAAGGAAGAATTGGAGCAGCGGGAAGCTGAGCTCCAGAAAGTGCGCAAGGCAGAAGAAGAGCGCCTTCGGCAGGAAGCCAAGGAGAGAGAAAAGGAGCGCATTTTACAGGAACACGAGCAAATCAAAAAGAAAACAGTGCGCGAGCGCTTGGAGCAGATCAAGAAGACGGAACTGGGTGCTAAAGCCTTCAAAGACATTGATATTGAAGTAGGTGGCATTTTACTCCTGAGCTGTTGGCTTTACTCAGGTCTTTGGCCGTGTCAGACCATGGCTGTGGACCATTCACTGGTTTATTGTGGGCTGCTTGGTTATTTAGCAAAGCGAGGCAGATTCGTTCTTTTTTTTTTTGATTCATTCTTAAAAGCTGGGAGTGGAACACGCCTTTATTTTCAGTTGCTCTGTTCACTTCTGAGTCTGTTCATCATGGCAGTCGCAGTTCAGTGGAATGAGAAATGGATGCATATTCCTCCCCACCTTCTGTTTAAATGAACAGTAATCTAGGACTTGATGCTGTGAAGCTGCTATGTTAACCTTTATCCCCCTCTCCCCAATATATCAGTCAGGCTTTCCTCATAAAAATCTCCTCCTCCTCTCAGGATCTCGAGGAATTGGACCCGGATTTCATTATGGCTAAACAGGTTGAACAGCTGGAAAAAGAGAAGAAAGAACTCCAAGAGCGCCTGAAGAATCAGGAAAAGAAGGTGAGTGAGTGGGGCAGTAACCTTTTCAAACATCTTTTGGCCTCCACTTTGTTGTTTTTTCCCCCCCTGATACTCTTAAAAAAATGTGCTGGCCCATAATTCACATGTTGGAATTCAGTTCAATCATAGCAAAGAGTTGTTTCTAGAACATTTCTTTCTTTCTGGTACTCATTACTTCCCATTTACTTCCAACCTCTCTGTCATGTCCTCAAGAAACATCAATCCAGTTACTGTTTCACTGGATTAACTGATCTTGGATTTCCTATTCAGAATAGTAACAGTAACAAGTAAAACAGAGGAACCTCAACCTAAACGAAAACATGAAAACCTAGAACAAATTCACAAGGGGACAAAAAAAGATCATATGATGAAAGAGTGTTAAATTGTAAACCACTTGCAGCTACTAGTTCCGCATTGCATTGCCATGTGCTGGGTAGAAGGGGGCTGTTCACCTCCCTGGTCAGGGGACTCACTGGAGGCTTCATTCACCTGTGTTTCCCTTTCAGATACACACATTTCGTGTATATATGTACATGTAACTGTGTGTATATTTAAAAAACCCAGTTTTACAAGTGTCAAAAGGGAGATCTAAGGCTAAGATAGAGTACATTTTAACCTAACTAACTACCACAATCGGCTTTACAGTACTTACTGTCTGATAAAACAAGGCCATTCACATCCCTTCACTGTGGTAGAGGCTTAATCTATCATCTGTACGTGCACCCTGCAAATGGATTTTGGGCTTCCACTGTCCATAGCCTGAAAAATTAATAATTTTAACTCTGCTACCATTGTCTCCTCGGTATGTGGATTATATTATTTACAGTCATGGAACCACACAGGCTGGTGTGCTTCTATGTGGATTTAGTTGACTTCTCAACTGCTTGTTCGAAGAGAAACCTTTAGGATCCCAGAGGCTATTCTGGACCAGTAAACTTTTAAGAGAGAAAAAAAAGCACACTTTGTCTTTCAGAGAGGAATTTTAGTAGTGTAGACAAACTGCAGACAATACAGGGTTCCCATATATCCCTCTCTTTCTTGTCCACACTTGGTGGTACAACTGGTGATTGTGTGCCTTGGTGGACGGCATTGCTACATTGTTAACTACGTGTCTAGTTTATAATAGCCATCACTGTATATGTTTCATTGTCATAGCTCCACTCCCCTGAGGATGCCCTGTGCTCCATCTGTCCGCCCCTCTCCTCTCTCTACATATCTGGCAACAGTTCAGCTTTCTGTCCCTTCAGTTTTACTTTTCTTTTTGTAGCTTGATGACGGCCTATTTCTTTCTAAACAGTGGTCCGTTGTGTGAATGTACCAGCATTTATATGCTCCCCAGGTGGACAGCTTGGTAGCTTCTGGTTTGGGCAGTTGTGAATACCGTGCTGTAAATACAGAACATTGTTGGGCAGGCTTATGGGTGGACGGAATGCTATCTAGTGTGATTGTAGGTTTAGTTTTGTGAGCACCTCCCAAGTGCTGCTGGCCTGGAATGGCCATATTCCGCCAGCATTGACTCTCACACAGCCTTTCCCTCGCCAGCATGGAGTGTTTTGGGTTTTATCCATTAACAAGTGTGTGGTAGCATAGTGTTCCTCTTTACAGTTCCATAATGACAGGTCAAGGCGTACACCTGATTCCATATGCGTAGATGCTGTCTGTCTGGTGGTCAGGTTCGTATTAAATTAGTTAAAAAATAATTTTATTGGGGGCTTGGACAACTCTTATCACAACCCATACATACATTCATTGTGTCAAGCACATTTGAACATTTGTTGCCATCATCATTCTTAAAACACTTGCTTTCTGCTTGAGCCCTTGGTCTCAGCTCCTCATTCCCCCCCCAGATGTTTGTTTCCTTACTGTTCTTTGTGTTGAGTTTTACCTTCTACCTTGGGTAAAAATCCACTGTCACGTGTACTTTGCAGATATTTTTTCCTAGTCTGGTCTGCCTTGTGAATTCCCTAAAATGACACCATGCCCAAATAGGTGTGTTTATTACCACGGGTCTTCAACACTTTACTGGAGAACTAATTTTTTGAAAAAGTCTTTTTATTGGGGGCTCGTACAGCTCTTATTACAGTCCATACATCATCCGTACGTCAAGCACATCTGTACATTGGTTGCCCTCATGGTTCTCAAAACATTTGCTTTCTACTTGAGTCCTTGGTATCAGCTCCTCATTTCCCCCCGCCCTATCCCTCCCTCATGAGCCCTTGATAATTTATAAATTATTATTATTTTGTCATGTCTTACACTGTCCAATATCGCCCATCACCCCTTTTCTGTTGTCTGTCCCTCATGGAGGGGGGTTATATGTAGATCCTTGTAATCAGTTCCCCCTTTCTACCCCACCTTCTTTCTACCTGCCCCGTATTGTCACTCTCACCACTGATCCTGAAGGGATCATCTGTCCTGGGTTCCCTGTGTTTCCAGTTCCTATCTGTACCAGTGTACATCCATCCTCTGGTCTAGCCAGATTTGTTGGAGTATTTAAAAAAATTTTTTTTTTAAATTAATGGATTACTATTTATCAAACTACTAAATTTTTTTCTCGAGTCTCCTTAGACATATACACACATTTAATTTTTTAAAAATTTAGTTGTTCCTTTTAATGTTTTATTAATCATTTTATTGAGGGCTCTTAACAGATATAACAATCCATAATTCAGTTAGGTCAAATATAATTTTACATAAGCTACTACCATCAGATTCAAATCATTTTTTTCCTTCTTGAACTCTCTGATAATAGCTTCCCTTTATCCTCTCCCACCCCCAACCTCTACCCCCCAGGAACCCTTATTATTATATATTATGATTGGCCGTATCTTCACTGTTCAATGTATCCATTCACCTCCAATTCTGTTATTCATTCCCCTCAAGTGGGGTTATACAGTCATGTGGGTATCTCCCACCTCCCCTTTTCCTTTAGCCCTCAGGGAGAATCATTACTCCTGTTACTGTTTCTGAAGGGTTATATATCTTGGCTTTCATTCATTGAATGTTTTTAATTATACTATGAACATACGCAGGTCTTAAGATTTATGAGGTAAAACAAAGACCGTAATGGTATTGGGAGGAAATACTAAAGGACTAGAAGGCAGTTACGTGTTTCATATAACTCCCTAGATTTAGCATTCCTTCTGTGTGTCTGTGAGGGACTGTCTAATTATCTTATAGGTGGCTTTTGGGTTTCCACTGTGTCCACTGTCAATTTGATTGCTTGTTTATGAACTTTTGATAACCTGTCCCCTTAGATACCTCATGATCACGCCAGCTGGTGTGCTTCTTCCATGTGGGCTTTCTTGCTTCCTTGCTCAGTGGCCGCTTGTTTAACTTTAAGTCTTTGAGACCCCAGGTGCTGTATCTTAATAGCTGGGCTCCATCAGCTTTTTTCACCACATTTGCTTATGTACCCATTTGTCTTCATTGATCATGTCGGGAAGGTGAGCATCATACAGTACCATATTAGAACTAACTAGTCTCCTATGAGGTCAGATTTAAAGTAGAGGCCCGAAGTCCATCTCCATCCTTGTATACACACACACACACACACGTAACTATATGTACAAATATAGTAATAAATGTAAATATGTAAATATATATACAGGGAACCCTCGCCACTTCGTGCTTCGACTTCCGTGGCTTCACTCTATCGCGGTCTTTGCGTAACAGCACCCACTACTTACACCCGCTCCTTCAGAGGAAAAAGACGGCAACCCACCAGTAGAGTACATCCCATAAGTCATTTCATAGGCTATTGATTACAGTATTTGTAAGAACTATGTATAATAATACTGTATGTGAAATATGTAATACTGTA